TTGCTGTTCACAGACTATCTCCATCCAATCTGACAGAGCAAAGAAGAATGGACAAAAACTTCACTCTCTAGATGTGCAAAGCTGGTAGAGACATACCCAAAAAGACTTGCAGCTGTAAATTGCAGCAAAAGGTGGTTCTACAAAGTATTGACTCAGAGGGGCTGAATACAAATACACGCCACACTTTTCAGATATTTGTAAAAAATGTTGAAAACCATTTATCATTTCCTTCCACTTCACAATTATGTGCTGTTTTGTGTTGGTCTATCACATAAAATCCCAATAAAATACATTTACGTTTTTGGTTGTAACATGACAAAATGCGAAAACTTTCAAGAGCTATGAATACTTTTTCAAGGCACTGCAAGATGCCTCTATATGGCAAGTCTGCATTGTAGAACATCACATCATCACACACCTGATCTGCCTTATAGACAACGAATATTTCTGATTCAAAACTAAAAACACCCAAAAAGCCATGCCCTTAGAACCTATTTGCCAAATGTGTAAAAAGCAATAAGTCCAAGCCTTTACTGATTTATGTATTAACAATACAGCAACTCTGAATCCTATGATTTGCAGACGGTTTCAAACAGAGCTGTGGACAGCAGTACAATTTTACAGGGCTTCTAATCCTGCACCATTCTATCCAAATCCATACACAAAATTACTGTAAGAAAGTATTTATAAAATGCACCAGACTAATGCAGGCCATAGACGTGTCGAAAACCGGCGTTAAAAAAAAAAAAAAAAAAAAAAAAAAAAAAAAAAAATCGGCCGATTTTTGTCCCGTCTACAGCCGGCATTTAATTACTTCTGTCCCTTGCAGAGAGCTCCGCTATTTTATTTGACACGAAAAAGTATTGCGGTTGCAACAATGTATCCATTTGTATCCATTTCAGATACAGATGTTTTTCATCGGATACAAATAGATACATTGTTGCAAATGCAATACTTTTTCATGTCAAATATTCCTATTCTTTTTCTTCTTTTTGCAGGTCACTGCTCATGCACAGATTTTTTATCGGAAAAAAACGATCGATCGGCCGATTTGCCCATCATTGCCGGGAAAATTAGCACATTTTTTTTCCAACTTTACTGATAAAAAAATGTGCCAAAACCCCAAAAAATGGCTGACCAATTAACCCACTAACGGTGCAAAAATTGGCCGATTTTTTTTTTCTGGCCAAAAATTGGCCGATTTTCGACCCGTCTATGGCCTGCATAATTAGCCCTTTCCTCCAAATACTGGTCTGTAGTCATAATCCTATCTGTGATAAATAGATGCTCTGATACATGCATATCTGTCAATATTATACAAATAAAAAGGACCATTGTGATATACTGATGCAGAATAGTAAAAACTGGAATAAAGGAAAAAAAAAATCAGCTAAAGTTTCTGCACGGAGTTTTTAATCTACACAACAAAAATAACAGTGTCTTTGCCACAGCTTTTCGTCCCTTAAAAAACAGCACCAGTGTCTCATAAAATAAAAAAAAGACTTGTGTCTGAGATCTCATTGTCATTTTTGAGTCCATGCAATCCCCAAACTGTTCCACTATTTAGACAAAGAATGACATCACCACTGACATCCCTGATAGCTGCCAAATGATTGGTCATTACAATTTGAAATGAACCAACTGCTCCTTGAAAGCTAGCTATGTGACAGCTGTTCATGAATCTGTGTAGAATCAATGAATGAATACACACAGGCTGCAGAAAGATGCAACGGATTACATATATTGCCATTCTTGTATCATTACCATTAAATTGCTATCAATTTAGGGTACACGTAACCAAATTATCAATCGCTGTTTATATGTGTTCTTATGATGCTAACTAAAGTTATATGTTTCCACGCCTTTCAAAATAAGACTAAGGCAAGCATAACACAAGATTACAAAATATAAGCTTGGACCAAACAATTCGGAAACCCAAAATATATTTTCCTTTGTTCTCAACTACACCACATCACACGTTATAATGTACCTTTCCTGTGATGGGCTGCCTAAGCCTCGAACACACTGACAAACACGTGAGTTTCCAGGACATTTCCTAACACATACAAATACATGCCATGATAATACCGGTATCATTTACATGAAATTCGGTGTAATCAGTTTAGCCGTGTTTAGAGAAAACAGGTTTCTGAGTGTGGTGGGCAGAACAGATAGTCTGAATGCATCTAAATGCAAGTAAACGCAGGAAAACGTGGTCTAGGAGGTATAACATTTGTTCATACTTCCCAGATAATTTCTCTTGTCTAGGATAATGTCACTGCCTGCATCACATGAGCACTTCCCATTGGCTGTCCAGAACTACGGTCCTCACAGAACCACGAAGAAGAGCAACAAGTGGTCTTGTACACATTCGCAGCACTGAGTTAGGCTGACCATACATTAAACAATTTTCTTGTACAATTTTCCTTTACATTTTCCAAAACCATATTATGAGGTCAAACCTAAACACTCAATTTGTGTGCAATCAAGCAGGCCCTTGCACTACATAGCTGAAGGTAAATCTAAAGGAAATTGAACAAGCAAATTGTATAATGTATGGCCAGCTTTAGCAGTACCTAGCACCCAGAAACTGTAGTGGCGAGGAAACTGAATGGTGGACTTAGGCCAAGTAAAGAAAAACAAATAACCTTACAGCAAAGCAAATGCAAGGGGCTAGCACACACGCATGTGTTGTGGTGTAAATGGGCCTTTAAAAGAGAAGTGAAGGGCTCACCTTTTATTTTGGGGTGCTTGGTGATGCCACTGGAGCACACCTCACTATTACTTAGAAAACAGAAATTCTATGTGGAGGGCTAACGTTTATGGTGTTATGGGATCCTGACAGTATTGTCGGGAGCCTCCACACTTGTCTCTGCTCCTAATTACTAGTTTTCGTTGCAGGTGTTCAATCCTTCAGTACAGTAGCTAAGTGGTTAGCACTTCCGCCTAGCAGCACTAAGGTCATTGGCTCGATTCCCAACTACGGCACTAGCTGCATGAAGTTTGCATGTTTTTTTCCTGTACCTTTGTGGGTTTCCTCTGGATACTCCAGTTTCTTCCCACACTCCAAAGACATGCTGGTAGGTTAATTGGTTCCTGTCTAAACTGGCCCTAGTATGTATGAATGTGAGTTAGGGACCTTAGATTGTAAGCTCCTTGAGGATGTACAATATATGTAAAGTGCTGTGTAAATGGATGGCGGAAAAAAATGAGGGGCCATATCACAGGCTCTGTCCCCCACTTCCTTCAAAACACGGACTGTTGCTCACAATGTGCTGAGAACTTGAGGGATAGGGACTGATGTGAATGTACAATATATATGTAAAGCACTGTGTAAAGTGATGGCGCTATATAAGTACATGAAATAAATAAATAATAAACTGGTTTACTGATACTGAAATTGTACAATGACAAAGGGTGGGGTTAAAGGATAAGTTCACCTTTTTTTTGCAGGTAAAAAATGTGCATTTATTATTTTTGTCTGCAGGAGCCTAGAATGCATTGCTCCAGAGATCAGTAGATCGCAATGTCATGCAGGTCTCCGGCAGACCTGTCAGTACATCTGTGTGCGCGGCTGAAGCTATGGGAATAGGTTATTTTTTTCCACCCGAAATGTTCCCAAAGGTGAACTTATCCTTTACGATTATTCTGTCAGAGGGTAATTTCTGACGTTGCATTTGTGCAGGTCATAATCCTCCTTTAAAGTCAACAAGATATTTTAATAAGAACAAACCTGGTCCCTGTAAAACCTACTACAAAATACTGTAGGTATAATAAAGATAAGCTCCACCATACAAATATGAATATACTTTACACCCACTTACATACAATGACATGTGTCATCCAGTTCAGATGTCCAAATGTACATGAGAGCAAGCCTGTATGATCAGACCTGCAACCAAAGGCCTAAGACTGAATTACTATTAAATCATAAACAATCGACAGTAACAGGATACACTCTGCCACCAAGGTGATGGAGAACCATGCCCTGCACAGTGTGAGCTGAGTGTGTTTACCACATAGCAAAGCCCAGTGCTGGCTCTTCATCCCTATTATATAGCAGATCCCAGCGCTCCTGATGCCTCCTATATAGCAGATCCCAGTGCCATCTCCTGATCCCTCCGTTGTAGTAGATTCCAGTGCTGGCTGCTGATCCCTCCTCTACACAGCAGATCCCATTGCTGGCTCCTGATCCCTCCTATAAAGCAGATCCCAGTGCTGACCTCTGATCCCTTCTACATAGCAGATCCAAATGCAGATTTCTTATACCCCCTACATAGCAGATCCCAGTGCAGATATCTTATCCCTCCTACTCAACAGACCCCAGTGCAGTCTCCTGATCCCTCCTACATAGCAGATGCCAGTGCTGACTTCTGATCCCTCCTATATAGTGGATCCCAGTGCTGACTTCTGATCCCTGCTACACAACAGATCCCAGTGCTGACTTCTGATCCCTGCTACACAACAGATCCCAGTGCTGACTTCTGATCCCTGCTACACAACAGATCCCAGTGCTGACTTCTGATCCCTGCTACACAACAGATCCCAGTGCTGACTCTTGATCCCTACTATATAGCTGAACCCAATGCCATCTCCTGATCCTTCTAATATAGTAGATCTTAGTGCTGTCTCCTGATACCTATATATCAGACTCCAGTGCTGTCTACTGATCCCGCTATGTAGTAGATCCCAGTGCTCCTGATCCCTCCTACACACCAGATCCCAGTGCTGTCTCCTATGCAGTAGATCCCAGTGCTCCTGATCCCTCCTACACATCAGATCCCAGTGCTCCTGATCCCTCCTACACACCAGATCCCAGTGCTGTCTCCTATGCAGTAGATCCCAGTGCTCCTGATCCCTCCTACACATCAGATCCCAGTGCTCCTGATCCCTCCTACACATCAGATCCCAGTGCTGTATCCTATGCAGTAGATCGCAGTGCTCCTGCCCCCGTGTAGATCCCGGCGTCGCCTGCTGTCCCGGCTGGTGGGTGGTCTTACCGGTGGGCGCACTGTCCAGCACTCTCAGGTCGTAGGCCCCGGAGCAGCGATAGTTGGCAGCGGTTCCGTTGTCCCAGACCACCACCACCTCCTCCGGGCTCTCGAAGCTCCGCACGGTGCCCACATGCCCCTCTCCGCCGTCCTGCTTGCCCCACTTCCAGTCCGGGCCCCGGGCTACCCTGGCCCCCACTCCTTCCACCATGACCCGGTTATTGCGGGAGCCGCTCATTCCCCGGGAAGGATTCAGGGACCGAGGGCCCGGCCGCCTCACTTTCCACCGGCAGTCGGGCTATGTAATGAGGGGTAGGACTCCTCCGGTACAGCGCTCCCGTCCTGGAAACTAAACTTTCCCCGAGAGAAGAGCAGGCCAGCGAACCGGGCCCGGATACCAACAGCTCAGCGCCTCCGAGACTGCGCAGCAGCCTGGGAGGCGTGGGAACCGGCGCGCCCCCTGCCTGAGGAGACAGGGACGCGCCTGCGCTGATTGCAAGCTTCGAGAGCGCGCGTGGCTGTGTAAGGCCCGGGCGCCTCAGAGACGTCTGAGTCTTTGTTGTGTCTTATCTCTCCTCACATTACAATGGATGACTGAGGTTACTGAAATGGTCACAATAGAGCGCATTTCAGGGAACAAAGAACATTTTCCGTTATTTTTTACCAGCAACCTTCACAATGCATTAAAACACTTCAGTATAAGGTTTGAACCACTTGCTCCCCTGAGGATTTCTCCCCCCCCCCCCCATCAGGCCATTTTTTGCATTATGGCGCTGCGTAAATTTAACTGACAATTGCGCAGTCATGCAACACTGCATCCAAATAAAATTTATCTTCTTTTTCCTTCTAAATTCGTTATTTTTGGTGGTATTTGATTGCCTGGTGCATTTTTTATTTTTTGTGCTATAAAGAAAAAACGACAATTTTGAGAAAAAAAAAATTTTTTTACTGTTTGCTATTAACTAGTTGCCGACCGCAGATAGCCGAATGACGGCTGCACTGCGGCCGGCCAGTTCTGGGTGGACGTCATATGACGTCCTCCCAGAACGCGCTCTCCTGCGCGCCCCAGGGGGCGCGCACCCGGTGATCTCCGTGATCGCTGTGTCCTACGGACACAGCTGATCACGTGATGTGGTAAAAGGCCAATCACAGCGGCCTTTTACCACGTGATCAGCGGTGTCCAATGACACGCTGATCACAGGGAAATGCAATTGCCGGTTCTCGGCAGCACTTTCCTCACGCTGTCAGATTGTGAGGAAAGTACTGCTGAAAACCGGCAGTTGTCAGAGCGAGGATCGGCACCGATCATCAGGGCACTGATGATCAGTGCCCAGCAGTGCCACCCACAAATTCTGCCCACCTGTGCCCAGCAGTGCGCCCACTAGCTCCACCCACCTGTGCCCAGCAATGCACCCACCTGTGCCACTCTGCAGTGTCACACACCTGTGCCCAGAAGTGCCACCTACCTGTGCCCAGCAGTGCCACCCACCTGTGCCCACCCACCAGTGCCACCCACCTGTGCCCACCAGTGCCACCACCAGTGCAGCCCAGCAGTGCTGCCAGTCAGTGCCACCAGTCAGTGCCCCGGGGTTGTACCAGTCAGTGCCGCCAGTCAGTGCCCAGCAGTGATGCCAGTCAGTATCGTCTATCAGTACCCATCATCAGTGTCACCTATCAGTGCCGCCTATCAGTGCCGCCTTTCAGTGCTGCATATTAGTGCCGCCTATCCGTGACACCTCATTAGTGCTGCCTATCAGTACCGCCTATCCGTGCCACCTCATTAGTACTGCCTATCAGTGCCCTTTAGTGCTGCCTATCAGTGCCCATCAGTGCCGCCTATCAGTGCCCATCAGTGCTGCCTCATCAACGCACATCAGTGAAGGAGAAAAATTACCTGTTTGAAAAATTTTATAATAGAAACAAAGAAACTTTTTTTTTCAAATTTTTTGCACTTTTTTTGTTTATAGCGCAAAAAGTAAAGCGCCCAGTGGCGATTAAATACCACCAAAAGAAAGCTCTATTTGTGAGAAAAATATGATCAAAATTTCATATGGGTAAAATTTTGCATGACCGCGCAATTGTCAATCAAAATGCGGCAGCGCGGAAAGCTGAAAATTGGCCTGGTAAATAAGGGGGTATAAGTGCCTGGTAGGCAAGTGGTTAAACATATCCAGTAAAAAAATGTAAAAAATCAAATTTCGTCATAAATTTAGGCCAAAATGTATTCTGCTACATGTCTTTGCTAAACAAAATCCCAATACGTGTAAATTAATTGGTTTACGTGAAAGTTATAGCACCTATAAATGGTGGTATATACAGGTGAAACTCGAAAAATTAGAATATCGTGCAAAAGTTCATTTATTTCAGTAATGCAACTTAAAAGGTGAAACTAATATATGAGATAGACTCATTACAAGCAAAGCAAGATAGTTTAAGCCGTGATTTGTCATAAGTGTGATGATTATGGCTTACAGCTCATGAAAATCCCAAATACACAATCTCAAAAAATTTGAATATTGTGAAAAGGTGCAATATTCTAGGCTCAAAGTGTCCCACTCTAATCAGCTAATAAAGCCATAACACCTGCAAAGGGTTCCTGAGCCTTTAAATGGTCTCTCAGTCTGGTTCAGTAGGAATCACAATCATGGGAAAGTCTGCTGACCTGACAGTTGTGCAGAAAACCATCACTGACACCATTCATAAGGAGGGAAAGCCTCAAAAGGTAATTACAAAAGAAGTTGGATGTTCCCAAAGTGCTGTATCAAAGCACAGTAATAGAAAGTTATATGGAAGGGAAAAGTGTGGAAGAAAAAGGTGCACAAGCAGCAGGGATGACCGCAGCCTGGAGAGGATTGTCAGGAAAAGGCCATTCAAAAGTGTTGGGGACTTTCACAAGGAGTGGACTGAGGCTGGAGTCAATGAATCAAGAGCCACCACACACAGACGTATCCTGGACATGGGCTTCAAATGTCGTATTCCTCTTGTCAAGCCGCTCCTAAACAACAAACAACATAAAAAGCGTCCTACCTGGGCTAAAGAAAAACAGACCTGGTCTGTTGCTCAGTGGTCCAAAGTCCTCTTTTCTGATGAGAGCAACTTTTGCATCTCATTTGGAAACCAAGGACCCAGAGTATGGAGGAAGAATGGAGAGGCACACACTGCAAGATGCTTGAAGTCCAGTGTGAAGTTTCCACAGTCTGTGTTGATTTGGGGAGCCATGTCATCTGCTGGTGTTGGTCCACTGTGCTTCAATAAGTCCAGAGTCAACGCAGCCATCTACCAGGAGATTTTGGAGCACTTCATGCTTGCTTCCGCAGACGAGCTTTATGGGGATGCTGACCTCCTTTTCCAGCAGGACTTGGCACCTGCCCACACTGCCAAAAGCACCAATACCTGGTTCAATGACTGTGGGATTACTGTGCTTGATTGGCCAGCAAACTCGCCTGACCTGAACCCTATAGAGAATCTATGGGGCATTGCCAAGAGAAAGATGAGAGACATGAGACCGAACAATGCAGAAGAGCTGAAGGCCGCTATTGAAGCATCCTGGTCTTCCATAACACCTCAGCAGTGCCACAGGCTGATAGCTTCCATGCCATGCCGCATTGAGGCAGTAATTGCTGCAAAAGGGGCCCAAACCAAGTACTGAGTACATATGCATGCTTATACTTTTCAGAGGTCCGATATTGTTCTGTGTACAATCCTTGTTTTATTGATTGCATGTAATAATCTAATTTTCTGAGATTGTGGATTTGGGGTTTTCATGAGCTGTAAGCCATAATCATCACAATTATGACAAATCACGGCTTGAACTATCTTGCTTTGCATGTAATGAGTCTATCTCATATATTAGTTTCACCTTTTAAGTTGCATTACTGAAATAAATGAACTTTTGCACCATATTCAAATTTTTCAAGTTTCACCTGTATGCACTTTAAGTTTGATGGATTTATAATGATGTAAAATGGTTTATGTTATAGTGGTGTCTGAATAATTTTCATGATTTTTGATCATTGTATTAATAGGATAGCATCTGTATTGTTCACATATTCACAGATTGATTAACTCACTGTGACGCAGTTTTAATTTAGTTGATAAATAGCTGACAGTAGTTCTAACACTTTTCCCATTTCACTAAGAAAAGGTTTACCTGCTGGAGCATCTTCCTGCCACTCATGATCCTGTTATGAAGGTTTCACCTCACTTCCTGTCCCTCTGAGAGCTTGTGATAGCAACAAGTGAAAGGCAGGGAAGCAACATGCAGTAATAACCATCCTCTATTTTACAGAAAAAGTAGATGTGTTTGTTGCAGTCTACGGTCCCACTATAGAAGTTTACCATCATTTATTTTCCCAGCAGAAAGTGATGAAAACCTCCCTAATGTAGACCTAGACCCCAATAAAAATCCATCAAGGTTTTTATATCTTCTCCACCCTGTCTGTAAATTTAAAATACAGTTTAGTCATTAAAGTGGACCTAAACTCAAAAAGTTCAGATTTACTATGTTATAAGGAACATTTATGTGTTTGTAAAGCTTTTATATATATATATATATATATATATATATATATATTATATTGTTTAAAAATAACAAACATGATATACTTACCTGTTCTGTGTGGATGGAATTGAATAGCGAGGCCCCAACCCTTCTCTTCTGGAGTCCATCATAGGTGCTTCAGGTTCCTTCTCTTCTTTGTGCACCACCATAATAAGTTGTTTGCTATGGGGGACCATGTGCAGCCTTACTCCCAAACTGGGCTCCAAAGACACGCACAACATGACTTGGCCCCGCTCTACCCCCCACTCTCTTCCCACAGGATTTGATTAAGCCAGTGGCTCCTGCTGCCTCAGCAAAGACTGTGAGAGTTGAGGAGAGGGCTGCTACAGCACTGGATCGAGCGAGGACTTGGGTAAGTATTTAGGGCGGTGAGGGGATGATACAAATACTGGGAAATGTTTTACCTTGACCCCTTCACGCCAGCGCCCTTTAAGAGTTTCAGAAGCCGGGAGGCGGGACGGGCGGGGTTTAGGGATCATGGTGACTGCCTTGACATCAGTCACATGATCGGGAAAGGTCCCGATTGAAAGAGGAGACCGGGACCTTTCCGTGAGTACCGGACATGTGTGCTGGGAACGCGCGGGGCGCGGGGCGCGCGCTCTCAGCACATATTTTTTTTATTAGAACGCAAATGTGCAGCCGCTCGGCGT